GCGCTAAAGAAAGCCGGTCTTGAAAAAAAAGAAAAAACTTCCTACTAGTGCGCTAGAAGCAAGCAAGCCAATGAACGTTTGGGCAGTTCTGTACTGCGAAGCCAGTTTATAAGCAGTTTTTCGACTTAAACTGGTTAGCATTATGAAAAAAAATGGTGTTTCCAGAAGAGATAACTGATAATGCTCTATGATGCTGTGCGCAAATGATACACCTTTGTTCGACCTATCGGATAATACAACGAGACGGTTCCTTGCCGCTCTAGAAGTCTTTCAAAGGTTTGTATTGAACAAGTTATGTAAAACTAACAACTGAATTTCACTATGTACTCAACGCAGGTGAAGTGGTAAACCTACAAAAACAACTTTGCGCACGGAACTCAACGAGTTTTTAGCTTAAGCAACGGAAATGCGGAAGTTTCGTGGCTTATTCATGGCGAAGAATCGCAAATTGCTCTTTAAAATTTTGACGTACTTCACGCGCAAGAAAAGCAAAAGGCAAGAAGTGGAGTTCATAAGTGGAGTTCAAATTAACATCAGCTATAAGACTGTCACTAATTGCAATTTCCGAAGATTGCTAAGGGGCGCACTGACTGAGCCTACCATTGAAAACAATCGTAGATGCCATCGGAAAAAGTACTGGGTGTTTTTGTCGTTAACTAGCTTCGTTTTAGTTTAGTAAGTTGAGGAAAAAGTTGAAACCCAGCTTTAATTCTTAATTCAGCTCATGGTGGTTCTCTGAAGTCATTTGTCTCCTCTCGATGCCTATATTGATAAGGGAGAACTGCTGCACAGTTCCAGTGTTGTCAAAAGTGCAAACAGTAGTGAACTGATGGTGACATTAGTAACAGATTGTATGCAATAAAATCTTGCCACATAGATTAAAAAGCCCCTTTATATCCACCTCGTGGGGTATAGAGGGCGAAGAAAAGGCCCAAGTAGCAATATTTTGCTAACGGCAACCGTCTGCTGGTAAGACCGTCAACAGCGCCTTACAAAAATTACATTGTAAACAAGCTGAAAAGGCTTTTACTTTTGAAACAATTCAATTGTGAAAAAATAGCGGGTTTTACATTAGTGCTTGCGAGCATTTGGCTCAAGTGTGAGCGCAGATTTCATGCAGCTGTGCGCAAGGTCCACCACCTCTAACACAGTAGTGTGAAAATCAGAAGTCACAGCAGATATGGAAATCATACCCCGAAGACGTCTTTAAGAGCAGAGCTGTACATTGACCGATACGGTTACAGGGCTTATTCTCCTGTTCACGGATTCATCTGCGTGATAATATGCACATTCAGTATTATAACAAACTTGGTCCACATACTTGTGCTAACCCGACCGAATATGCGCTGCGCTGCGGTAAACTGCGTATTAACTGCTGTTGCAACCTGCGATATGGGTACCATGGCTTCTTATTACGTATATATTTGCCATTTCGTGCTCTTCAAAGATACTGCCTGGTTTGTTGCTACTTTCTTCCCAGATTCTGCTTCTTTTCATGTTACTAGGCACCTTCGCTTGCAGCTTCACATAGCCTAGTGTTCTACGCATGAATTTTTCACAGCTCTAGGGTTTGTCGCTTCCATTCTTTATGTTTTACCACGTTGATTTATTAGTTCATTTTTAGGCGCTTTTGCATATATGCAAATGCGAAAACGCATATTGCGACGACCCCGGTGTGTGTGTATGTGTGTCTGTCCGGGTATTTCAACTCGACACCCAAGCAAGTTCCGCCGTCAAGATTTTGCTAATGGATCCCTCGGCCAAGGACCGCGGTACCGACCATCACGCACGTCTAGGCCTCGCGTACGAGCGCCTCAAAGTTTTGGCAGGAAAATCGCTAACTCAAGAACCAGAAAAGCTAGAAAGCTGAAATTTTGAGGTTATGTTCTTCCCCCCTCCGCCCCTCAAAAGAACTCAAAGATTTCAAAATCATCCCCCAGGTATGCGTGGTACCCGCGTATGACCCCGTGAAGATTCCTGGCGCAAAAACCGCTAGGTTGGGATCCAGAAAAGCTGGAAAGCTGAAATTTTAATGGGATGTTTCCAGTTTATATACAACTGAAATTTATCAAATTCAGCCTTCAGGCATGCGTGGCTCTCACGTACGGCCTGCTGAAAAATTTTGGCGGGCAAATGGCTAAGCTGATTCTTGCATGGTTATAACATACGAGTAATATTAAGAACTTAAATAGGGCAGAACTAGAACTAACTGTGTATGTATAGATGTAGAAATGTAGCTGGTGTAGGAAAAATAAGTGAGTAAGAGTTAAGACGTTTCGGTCCATTAAGTCATATCCGTCTTAGCTCAACACCGCGAGTGGACCTCGTCGGTATGGCGGTTGCGGTGTTCAGAGATGAGAGGGAAAAGAAAGGAATGGAAGGAGAAAGAGAGAAGAAGAGAAAGATAGGAAAGAGATTTTTTTAATTGTATCAAATTTAGAGCAGTTGGAAAAAATTATAAAATTGCAATATAAAGTGGTAAAGTATGGAAAGGAGGAAGTAGCTATAAGAACGGAACGTTAACAAAACGACGCATGCAGGCATGTTGGGTGGTACAATTATTGTAGAAGAGCGTGTATCAGCTGGTGACACAGAGCAACCGTAGGAGGGAAATACTTAGCAAAGTGGTAGGGATTTCTGCGTACAAAGATGTTCGCTAGATGATTAATTTTGTGAGAAGAAATTCCTTTATGGGAGTAGTGGAGAAGAAGACGACGAGCGGATATGATAAATCCCTGATAAGAGGATTCAATAACCAAGTACCTATTGAGCTGACTATAAAAGATACCGTTGTGGACAGAGGGGTGTAAATTGCTGCGAAGAGAGGAGTATTTAATGATAGGAAAGGTAGTAAAGATCGGTCTTACAGGAAAGTGAAGAGGCAATGCGAGCACTGCAGTCTATGGAAAGGGTCAAGTCCAAATAGTTGACGGTAGTACCTGAACCTGTGCAATCTGCATCTAGGTCCTGGCCATATATGCTTAGGCGTAGGGAAGTCTGGAAGTTGAGAACTAAAATGTTATCGACATAACGATGGAGGAGAAGCGGGGGACTAGTAGGAAGTCTGCTATATTTAAATTCAAGTAAAGACAAAGTGAAGTCGGCAATGTCGGAACTGGCACTGCCACCCATGGGGACGCCTTTAATTTGGCGAAAAATGTAGCCAGAGAAGCGTACGT